GGTGCCCCAAAATTTGGGATGGTTCTTGTATGGGTTTGCCCCTGACTCAGGAGTGGGTGAGGATTCTGTTCTGGATTCTCCCCATGCTCAGGAGTGGGAGTCTCATAATTCAGGAGTGTTCTGGTGTGGATTTCAGGATCCTGAAATTTGTGAGAGGTGCTGTGCACCAGCCCCACTCAGGGCTGGGTGCCCTGAAATGCTGTGGGTCAATGTTCTTGATTTCTGTAAAGGGAGCTGATGATATTTTGTGCACTAAAGATTCTCCTGGCTGTTTTTGCAGTTTCTCCAAAGCTGTTTGGAGCTGTTTCATCCTCACTAATCCCATCTGCTGGCATAGCACAGGGAGATAGCCCAAATTTTGCCAATTTTATGTGGAATGGGTCAGCTCTGAGAGCTGCTTGATCTCAGAGAACCCTCTCCCTGTGTCCTGGGGTGTTTGTTGTGCTTTGGGGGCTCCCTCCGTGCTCTGGGGGTGCTGCAGTGGCTGCAGCACAGCCTGTGCAGACGCAGGAGGTGGGCTGGTGTTGCCTCGGTAACGTTTGTGCTGCTGCAGAAATGTTTTTGGTCCCTAAACCAGCAAGACCAGCCCTGGATTTGCAGGAGGATGAGGTGAATTGTGAGTGTTTTCAGGGGTTTTGGTTTTCCTGAAATGTGCTGTAATGGAACTGATTTTTCCCCCGTGTTTTCAGGGCTATTCGGAGTCACCAGACCTGGAGTTTGAATATGCAGACACGGATAAATGGACAGCAGAGCTCTCAGGTAAGGAATAATTCTGTGATGGATCACTTAATCAACCATCATTTCCTCTCCTGGTAGAATTAAAGGAACTGTCAAGTCCAGTATCTCGTTATTGTTATATTTAAATGCTGTATTGATGTTAAAAGGGACAGGATATGTGTAGTTCATATTTTTGGCCTTACACTGGGTGAGGTTTTATTACATTTTTATATTTTGCTAAAACTGCAGTCTCCAGGGCTGAGTTGGAGCTTGGTGCAGTTTTTTGGAGCTTCCCCTCTTTTGGCAGAGCTGTACAGCTACACAGAGGGGCCAGAGTTCCTGCTCAACCGAAAATGCTTCGAGGAGGACTTCAGGATCCACAGTAAGAGCTGGATCTTTTTCTGGATTCCTCTCCCCTGGGGAGGCACAGGGATTTCTCTTCCTAGAGAAGAGGAGCGTGATGTCAGAGCTTACTGGGGTCTGCAGCTACTCCTGAGGGGCAGCTTTGATCTCTGCTCTGTGTGAGCAGGGACAGGACCCAAGGGAACGGCTGGGGCTGTGTCAG